ATGACAACCCAGTAAATTAATGTTCTTTATTGTGGGGTTTTATTTCCTTTCTGCCCTTCTCAACCCCAGAGGCAGCTCTAGCCCGACAACCATGCAGGCTGGGATTAAAACTGCAAATGACCTTTATGAAACCTACTTCAGATTCATGCAACTGGCCATTAATTAAATACATTGAGAATCTTCTAGGAACTTTTCCTTAAATTGCTATCACTGAAAGGCAGCAGATGGTGTTTTTCAGTCTCTCAGGACCCTTCTGCGTGCTGTTAACATATCTTACCTGCTTTCCAAAGCAGGGTGACAATGAGCTATGGTGTAATTTATCATTTATTTAAACCTGCCTTTGATCCAAAACCAAGGGACACTTTGGTAACTGCCAGCTGCTGCTCCAGCTACACTGAAATCAGAGTGGTTCACACCCCACAGGGACCCCCAGCAGCAAGTTCATGAACCCTCCACTCACAGCACTGCAGTCACAGAGTTTGTAGCACCTCAAGTAACAAAGGTGTGTTTTTCTTTTAGGACTAGATCTCTTGTTCCCCTGTAACCAAACTTGCTCTTCCTTTACAAAATGCTGCAGAGGAAAGGAAAAGCTTTTTTGCCTTTTTCCAAACCTTGTATTTATCAGTGTCATTCTGTCTGTACAATATTTTGACTTTTAATCTTTTGTTTACAGTATTACTATAAAATGCTAAAACCCTTTCAGTGTGTGAAATGATGTGGGGTTATTTGACTGCTGGTGCTCTAAARATCTTTGGGAAAGGTTTCTGTACTTGAGTGAAGGGCTGAGGTTGCTCCAGTCTTTGTCACAGCCCTGTACCAGCTCCTTGTGCATGGTGTCAGGTCTGATGTCAAGCTGCAGCAGTTGATGGTAACAGCAAGGAATGAARTGCAATAATCATCTCCTGTCCTACTGTTGTCGTAGTTTGCTCAAGTAACAAAAAAAAAAAATTCTTGTTCAGGTTTCAATTATTTACTTATGAAACAAGTGCAAAACAAGGTTTAATGATGTTTCCAGCACCTTCTGGAGAGGAACTGGATAAGCACTGCTGCCACAGCACACATGATCTGACTGATTTGCAATGTGCATTACTCATTAACYCCTAAAAGCCCAGTGGACATCCAGGCACAGCCTGATTCTCCAAGATGGGAGTCTGACACAGCCCCTGGTGTTTCACAGCTCCGGTTCCTGCAGAGGCACAGATTCTTTCATGGCTCAGGTCCACAGGGCACTTTTATTTGCTGGCTTGCCTCAGCCTCTCACGTACTAAAATACATGAGCACTACTCCAGAATGCAAAGTGAAGCAGTTCAGTTCTCTGAAGATGCTCACACCTCCACATTCTTGAAGATGGTAGAGATTTGCTCCTCTTCAGCTGGGCCCCAGCTAAATGTTTTCCTATTGACTCAAGTCTTGGTCACAMTGTAGGCTATTCCAGAGGCACCATTTTTTTCTGGAGTTCTTTGAGTCTTCAGAGTTTTCTTTCTTTAGTCTGGAGCTGCATCTCATACTTGTTCCTCAGGTCCAAGCTTCTCTTGGGTAACTGTTGAACTAATGGGGTCAAAAAAAAGACCAGCACTGGTTATGGGCTCTGAAATTAATCCGCACACACTGTCCACACACAGGAGGTGATGTGATGGGCAGGGGCTTTAGGTAGGGTTACTCAAATTTGATTTTTGAGCCAAGCAAAGCAGGACAGACAAAAAAGACACTGAGCAGAGGAGCTGCTCTGTACCAACTGCATTAATGCAGCCAACAAATCCCTTTCAGCACTGAGCAACGTTTGAGGCRTTAGCAACACGTCTGCCTCAGCAGTTCTTAAAAAGTTAGAATTAACTAACTCTTTCTACACAGAGAACTGTAGAACTCTCTAAGGGGATGGAACAGCCCAGTGTTGTGCCCTGGCACTGTGACAACTCAAGTGCACTTCAGAGACAGTGATGCTATCACCCTCCCTGATGGCCTCATGTGTCAGGGTGACCCCTGGTGACCTTCCCCTGCTGTGCCAGCTCTGCTCACCGTCCCACCACTCCAGCTCCTGGCAGTGCTGTCWGGCCCATCCCTCCTGCKCTTCCTCCTCCTCTCTCAGGCACTCTGTCCYCTGTGYACAGCAGAGTCAGGTGAGACAGAGCAGCCTCACCAGCCAGGTGTGTATTGGGGAGCTCAGCCTACCTGAGGCTGCAGCTCCCTCCTGTGGGCTCCCTGCAGTTCCTCCTCCTGCTCCTTCTCCCGAGGAGTCCCTTTCTTTGCCTCCTCGAGTTCTTTGATCAGCTGCTCTCGATACTTTATGGACTCYTCTTGGGCCTGTCTGTTTAACTCCATCTTCTCTTGGATCTGCCGCTGTCGGCCTGCAAAGACCTGTGCGAAGGGAGAGGATGGGGAGAGAAGATTGTTAAACAGTTCCCAGAAAACACACCAGACAAGCAGAAAAATGCCATCCTGGTATGGAAGACTCTGACTCTTCAGAGAGTGGAGGGTTACAAGTGGAATGATGGTTTCATTCATTCATCAACAGAGGTCATCACCTCATTCATCAGGCGATCTCTGGCCACCTTCTCTCTTTCCCATTCTTCTTCCCTCTTTTCCCATATTTTTTTAGCTTCTTCCCTAAAAGAGAGAGGAAGAATTATCTCTGAGGTTAYGGATACAGACGAGCTATCCCATCCTTTAGAGGAACACTTGCGTTTCTTTTCACATTTGTTCCCTGGCASTTGGTGTGTCCATCCCACCTGTCTGAACCAAAACACTCAGCATGCACGAACTCTTCACGTGAAGTTCAGAGGTGAGACTCACCTAAACATAGAGTCAAGCTCTACTTCCCTCTCCTTTTCCAGCTGGAGCTGTTCCTCAATGACCCTCTTCAGCCAGGCCACGTCTGCCACCGTCCGTTCCCGCTGCGCGATGTGCCCACGCTGATCCTCATCTTCCTTCTCCAGGAGRGCTGATAAGATTTGCCTGTCTGTCTCCTGGAGAAAAACCACGAGATTATCAACTGCCCACCAGCCTTCCAGCCTGTGTGCAGAGCTCCTCTAGGCACTGCAGGTTACAGGGTGTGCTCAGCAAGATGCTCCATCTGCTGCTTCCCTGTGAGCTTTGTGCTCAAGCTGGAAGGGGCCTCCTGATCTCTAGGAATCAGAGGCAGACACAAAACACACAGAACAAGCCCTTTTCACCCCACAGAATCTATAAAGTATAAATTAAATCTCTTACCAGCTCTTCYTGTATCTGCTGCGCTCGTCTCTTTAACTGGAGGTCACACTGATGCTTCAAAAAGCGACTGAAGGAGGAAAAAAAAAACAATTTTTTTTTTAGAAGTCAATATCACACTGATTTTAAAGCACCATGTCATTGTACAGCAGCACTCAGGGAGGTGCATCTGTGACTACAGGATGCTAACAGAAACAAAAAGAAATAAGGGCATCCGTGCCTGTGCTCCTTGGCTGCTGTGGGTGAATCCACCAAATCCCAAATAGTTACATCCTTCCACCTTGCCCACAAGTACTGCTGAGAACACAGRAACAGACTCTATCCAAAACAAGCTWCACTTGGTGTCCTACCCAAACTCTTTCTTCCCCCGGTGCTCTTCCATTTGTTTCCTTTCTTCTTCCAAGTTCTCCAGCTCCCACTGCTGCTTTAATAAATTCTCTTGCTCCTTTTTCAGCTTTGTTGCCTAAAAAGGAAAAAACAAACACCCAGAGAGTCCATCAGAGAGCTACAACATCCCAGAGAGCACGCTTGACTGGAGTTTGCACCCTGTTCTGCTCCTCTGCAGGCAGGGAAAAYCCTCCCTGCAGTGCAAACCGGGAGAGGTCAGGTCAGCCTGGCTGTATTTCCAAGTGAAGCAATGAATTCCCTTCTCAAATGAGGAGAAACTCAAGATTACCTTTGTCTCCTGTAATTTCAGTTCTTCTATCTGTGGAAGCAAYGTCTCTGCTTGCTGCTTCTCCTCCAGCTGATGCTTCTCTTCGTCCTGTCTCATTCTCTCTGGTGCTTCCCCTCGCACCGTTTCGGACTCGTTTTCATAACATTTCTTCTCTTCTGGTTCGGTCGCCTCTTCCTTTCCCAGCCAAAAGAAAACAGCATTTCAGGTTAGCCTGACACAAAGAAACAGCTTCTAGTTCAGMAAATCCACAGAGCAGACTCCTGCAAGCTGAAAGGCTTTGTTAACAGTGCCCTTCCAGTGCAGCTCCCGTGGCACAAGTGTCACATCTCCACCTGCACACCCATTTCAGAGTCCTCCCAGTGACCAGAACACCAGGGCTATCCCTCATACCTTGTTTTTCTGTGTTAGCTGATCACCCCAAGCCTCTCCCACATGCTTCCTGTGCAGCTCCGACTCCGCCTGGAGACACAACAGAGGCAGCAGGGCCATCAGTGCCAGAGGTTCTGTCTCCCAGGATCTTCTGGACTCTCTGAAGCATCACCTGGCCCTGAAATCCCAGCAGGATCTGCCTCTGGGTGTCCAAGGTGCCCACCAGGTCCTGTGCTGAGAGTCACTGTCACATGGGAAACACCACAGTGACAGTAACATGGGGCTGCAGCACTGGAGCAGCAGRTGGGTGAAATAAAGAATGAGGAAGCACCATAGCATGGCAGGTACAGCTGAGATATTAAGATTTATATTTTTTGTATTATTTATATTTTACACACCTGAGATATTTACATTGTGAGCACTGAAAATTTGCTCTGAGACTGAAGAGATTTCTGACTTTTAAAAATATTTAGCTCCTTTAGCTTTGAGGAGGCGTCTTAAAACTATTTAAACTTAAAACAATTTCACTTCTTTGCCTTTCGTTTATCAGAACTTGTGATGCAAGATGAATGAACAGTAGAGATATGATGATTTTYGAGTTAAAAGCTGGTCTAATAAATACAAGGCAGCAGGGAGTAAAGAGAAGGCAACATCACCTTTTGGTGCTCCGCCTTGTTTTTGTTCCAGTGTTCGTGCAGCAGCGGCTCAGCAAACTGGGAATACAGAGCTGGGTCATGTCAGGATACGGGAAAGCTCGGCATCCCAAACCCCAAAGAGGATGACAGGGCACCAACTGCTGGCAACTCCTGCGGAGCCCACAGCAAGTCCCGCTGGCACAGGAACAGCCCGGGATGTGGAACGAGCACAGCCGGGCCGCTCTCTCACCTTCCTGCTGCACTCCCCGGGGCCGTCCCGCAGCTCCCGGCTCCGCATCCCGTCCCGCCGYCGCTCCCGCAGCTCCGCCGCCAGCGCCTCCTGCTCCTCGCCCAGCAGCCACTGCAGCCGCTCCCGCCGCCGCTCCAGCCGCGCCGCCGCCTCCTCCGCGTCCCTCCGCGCCGCCGCCGCGCTGCCGCACACACCGGCAGTCAGCGGGACCTCGGCACCGAACCGGGACCGCGCCGGGACCCCGCCGGACCGCCGCCGTACCTGGGCGGGGGGACGCGGGGCTCGGTCCACCGCGCATACTGCGAGCAGCAGACGGCGGCGCGGGCGAAGGCGCGGCTGGTGYTCTCCCACTGCTGCCGGCTGCGCGCCTCCAGCTCCCGCCGCTGCGCCGCCCGGCGCTCCGGGCCGCGGCCCCACCGCAGCCACAGCGCCATCGCAACGCGCCCGCCCGCGACGGCTGCCGCCGAGGGACACGGCGAGATGGACTCCGCGGGCACGGAGAGAGGCGGGGACCGAGGGAGGGAGGGAGGCGGGGACAGAGGGAGGGAGGCGGGGAGAGAGGGAGGTGAGCGGGGAGGGACGGGGAGATGGAGGGGCGGCGGAGGATCGGCTCGCTGCGACCCGTCCCGGCGGTAACCGCCGCGCCCCGAGCGCTCGCACGACGCGCGAATGCGGCCCGAGCGGGGCGCGGTGCCACGGTGCCCGGCTGGGAGAGCGCAGCAACGGTGGCGTTTATGGCGCTGTAAATATTTCAGGGGTGAAAGGTTTCTGTTTCTGCCCGCCTTGGCAGGGCACCAGCGCGGCGCCGCYCGCGGCGAACCCAACCGGACCGGCCGCTGCGTGACCCGGGATATTGACGGGCACCGCGGGAGGGGATGCGGGCATCCAGAAATGAGCTCTGGACATCCCAGGATGGGCTCCGAGCACCCTGGGGTGGGCTCAGGGTCAGCGGGCACCACGGAATTGGCTCCTGGCACCCCGGGAAACGCTTCAAGCATCCCGGGAGGGGAATCGGGCACCGGGGAGGGAGGTGGCACCAGCCCGCAGCCCCCGCAGCTGCCACCGCTGGTGCCCGCACCCTYTTTGTACCCGCACCCTGCCTGCAAGCCACCGATCGCTATCTCCCCACGACCTGTTTTTCCAGAATAACCGGTAAAAACACCGTATGTGGGCTCTGTCACCGKCAAGCCCGCTCCCCACGCAGCGGACGCGCTGAACCTCCCTTGGCTCCCACCCCTTCTTCACCTCTCCGTGTCCCCCGCTCGGTGTCATTTTCCCACCCAACCCCTCACTGAGCTGTTTCATCACTCCCGCGCGTTGAGGTTTGTTTTCCATCTGCTCCCTATAAAATATTTATCTCCCGTGAATAATTAACGCTCGGAACGCGTCCAGGGCAGTGCAGGGTCCCGGGCACGGCCAGGCCCAGAGTCTGAGGGGGCGATGGGGGCGTGGCCTCCTCCTCGGGCCACAAGTCCCGCCCCCTTCGCTCCGGCCAATGGCTGCGCACCGCCCGTACGGGCGGTGCGCAGCCATTGGCCGGAGCGAAGGGGGGCGGAGCGTRGCGTGGGCGCGCTGCCGGGTCGGCCCCCGCTGCCTTTAGAGCCCCCTCAGCCGGGGAGCGGTGAGGGGGGAAACGGGGGGAGATCTACGCTGATCATGGCGCTGCTGCTGGAGCACGAGTTCAAGCCGCTGCCGGCTGACAAGCAGATCGAGACTTTGCCCTTCCTGGAGGCCGTGGCGCACCTGCCGCCGTTCTTTGGTGAGACCGGGGCTGGGAGATGCGGGCTGGGAGCAGGCCTGCTGCGGGCTGAGCTGTTYCGGGGTGCCCCCTCCCCAGTTTTGGGTGGTGATCCCCTGCTCGATCCAGGGCTCACGCCGGGCTTGGCTGCTCCGTCGGGAGTTGCATCACGATCCTGTCAAACCCGCCGAGCAGCCCCGCTGGGAAGCGCCCTGCCATTCCCCTGGAGCACCCCATCCATGTGCATGGCTCGRGGATGGAGCTGCCATCCCACCCCGTGTCGCGACATGGGTGGGTGTCGGCGTGGCCGCCCTCGTGTCACAGTGTGCCCGCTGCCCTCCACAATGTCAGCTATTGTGTGGCGGCTCGGTGGCAGCCCCGGAAGGGCAGGACGTGGGGCTGCCTGCCTGCGGACGAGCAGTGTCCTGTGCCTGTCAGGCTGTTCCAGGACGTTCTGCCAGGGCTGTGTCCCTGAGCAGGGGGGATTGAGGTCGCTGGTGGGGCCGCAATAGGTGACAGGGCTGCCCTAAGGGCCAGCAGCGGTGTGTGAAGCTCTGAAATCCTTTTCTAGTCTCGCTGGCRTGTCTCAGTGCCCCGGCGGTGCTTAAAGTGAAACCTGTTGGTTACAGGAACTCTGTGGTGTCTCCCGTGTCACCAATGACTAATTGTCCTCCCTCCCTGTCTCCACAGATTGCCTGGGGACTCCCATCGTCTACTCACCAGTCAAAGCAGATCTGGCTGGAAATATCAAGGTAGGAAGGGGCTCAGGAGGGCTCAGGGGGGAGAATCTCTGGGGCGAAATGCTGTGGGGTTGGAGAGACAACTCCTGGAGGTGTTTCAAAAGGCTTTTTTTATCACGGGGACTTTTAGTTCAGCGGTGGCTCATCCAGATGCGTGTTAATTCCCGGGGTGCCTTCCCAAAGCCCCATTAGCAGCCGCTGTGCTTCCCTGCTCCCAACAGCCAACCCCCTTCTCTACCCTCAGAAAATCCGGGCGGTTTACGACTCCAACCCTGCCAAGTTCAAAACGCTGCAGAACATCCTGGAGGTGGAGAAGGAGCTGCACGGCTCAGCCTGGCCCAAGACGGGCGCGACGCTGGCGCTGATGTGGTTGAAAAGGTGACTCACGGCGTCGGGAGCTGCTCCGGCTGTGTCCCGGCATGTGGGGAGCTGGAGAGCTGYGTGGGCTGTGGGCTGGTCCCTGTGGGCTGGATCTGGGCAATGTGGGGTGATGTGTTGGGAAACCTGCTCCTCAAATCTCCCCCTGGGAATGCACAGAGAAGCTCAACCTTAGAGTGTGAGCCCACAAATTGTTAGGACAGGTCAGGACCGTGCAGCCTGGAGGGTCCATGGGGCTGCACATGGTCCTGCTCAGCTCAGCCCTCAGCCTCAGCCTCACTTGGAGGTTCCATCATCCCTTGTGTTCCGCCAAAGGCTCCATCCATCCCTTGTGTTCCCCTAGAGACTCCATCCATCCCTTGTGTTCCCCTAGAGACTCCATCTTTCTCTTCCCTGGATGCACACAGGGACCCCCCAGCTCTGCAAGGGGGTCACTCTGCTGGGACTGAGGTTTTTTGGGGTGCTTGGACACACCAGGCTGGAAGCTGGGAAGCAGCACCCGCTTCCCTGGGCTGAACATCTGTGGTCTTCTCCCAGGGGTCTGAAATTCATACTGGTGTTGCTGCAGAGCATCTCGGAYGGCGAGCGGGATGAGGAGCACCCCAATCTCATCCGAGTGAACGCCTTGAAGGCTTACGAGATCGCGCTGAAGAAATACCACGGCTGGATGCTGCAGAAGCTCTTCACGGTGAGCRTTCCCTCCCTCTCCAAGCATCCAAYCATCATCCCTAAAGCTGTTCCCATTCCCTGATGATTGTCCGGAGACCCCACAGCGCTGGACACATGGGAACAGCACAGACCATGCTCTCTGTTGGGTTTGTGAAAGTCAAACACCCTCTCCCTGTTTTATAGGGCTCAGTCTACGCTCTTCCCTACAAATCCGATTTGCTGAAGGCCTTGGAGAAGGGTAAAGAAGTCAAGGAAGAGGAAAGCATAGAAAAAATCCACCAGTTTGTGACGAGGGTCGCTCCAATCCTGGATGCAATCTATGAGATGTACACGAAGATGAACGCTGAGCTGAGCTACAAAGCCTGAAGCTGGCACAGGATTGGCACAGATTAAGTAACGTGTGATGGGTGTTACCTGTGTCTTCATCGCTGAGGCAGCTGGGGCGGCTCCCAGCTCTCCGGTGGCTTCGATTCCTGTCTGGATCTGCAGTGGATAATGTCTTTTCTAACCAAAAAAATAATAGTAATTAACTTTTCTATTAAGAACACGGCAATAAAACAATTGTGGRTGTTAACCTAGGATTTCCCAAGAGGAAGAAGAACAAATGTTTCTCGTCCCAACTGTCGGATTCCTGCCTTCAGTGGGGCAGGGAATGAAGTGTCCTGCTGATGAATCAATCACTCGGACTGTGCCTGGAACCCACCGACGGGCACCTCGTGTTGATTGGCACTGGATTGTCTGAAATTATGCCCATGGTGGAGGAGCTTCCCGGGTGACCTCAACTCCTCCGGTGCCGGCGTGGGAGCGACCCCCTCTGCCAGAATTYGGAAACCAGGGACTGTCCCCGTGGTGTTTGTGGTGCCTTACGAGCCCCCCTCGCCTCCCGGTGCTGCCGAGCCCCGGTGGGAGCAGCAATTAATAAAAACTGATGGTACCCCTGTCTGGGAGCCTCATTTGGGGCTGTTCATGGTCGCCGTGTCAGGAAGGGTGTTCGGGGAGACTGTTTTAGGGAAGGTGTTTTCAGACTGCTCCTGGCAGGGCTGTTTTGGGTAGGGAGATTTTTTTCCTAGGGGAGCTGTTTTCAGGAGGATTTTGAGGAGAGCGTTTTGGAGTTGTTCCTGGGAGGCTGTTTTGGAGCTGTTCCTGGGGGGGCTGTTTTTGAGAGGATTTTTCCAGCTGTTCCTTAGGAGGGCTGTGTCAGAGATGTTGTTCCTGGGGGGCTTGTTGGTATTTTGGGGCTGTTCCTGGTGGGCTGTTTCGTGTCAGGGCCGCAGGGACGGTGGGGCGGGCGGGGGCCGATCCCGAGGGCGGGTCCCGGTGCCGCCTCCGCCGCTGGAGCCGGGGCCGGGGCGGGGAGGGGCCGCTCTTGGGACCGGCCCCGGGCGACTCGGCGGCGCCGGAGCCTACGGGGACTTTCCACGGGACCTTTCGCGGTACGGAGCCGGGGGAACGGGCAACGGGGGGCACGACCGGGAGTGGGACGGGCTGGGAGATGGGGACTGGGGCAGGATGGAGCCCCCGGTGAGGGATATGGAAACTGAGGCAGGATGGAGCTCTCCGGGCAGCACATGGGGACCAGGGCAGGATGGAGACCCCAGGTGAAGTGGGGGCTGAGGGCTGAGCTGGGCAGGGCCAGGTGCAGCCCTGTGGATGCCCCTGGCACTGTGGGGTCCTGACCTGACCGGACAGTCTGGGGACTCAGGCTCTGAGATTGAGGCACCGGGTGGGTTCGCAGGGGAGCTTTGAGGAGGGGGCTTCTATCAGCTCTGAACCCCCCGTGCTGCCCACACCGAGCTCCTGGCTCTTGCCGAGGTGAGCACGGGCTCAGTGGTGGGGATGATTTTGGGAAGCARCTGCATCACTCCGGATGAGCATTTCCTACACGAACCCATTGTGGTTTCACAGTGATTCACTCCCACCAGATCACCCTTTAATGTCATGGGACACCCTCCCTGCCACCCACCCGCAGATGTCCCCACACATCCCGGTGTTGGTGACAGCGTCCRTGCTCCTGTGGTGGGCTGGAGTGGGGACAGACTGGGGACACTGGAGGTACCTGGATGGGAAGCTGGGAAGAGGTGGGAGCACAGGTGGGGTTTGTGTTGGATGCGAGAGCTGTGCCTTGACTCAGTTATTCCATGAGGTGAAGAGGTCTGAAAAATCCAAACCCAAATAACTAACGGGCCAAATCAAACCCCTGTGACTGCACCTTTCCTGGCAGCGCCCGGGCTGACGGCACCAGCCCCGAGTCCCTCATTTCCCACAAAACCTTCCAGCCCCATCCGGTGACAGCAGGTGTGTGACAGCCCGTGCCGTGTCCGGGTTTTTCCTAAAGCTGCATTTTTCTGGGATCCAGCACAATTTGGACAGGTCAGGTGCTCCGTCCCCATTCCCAGCCCGCAGGGTCGGTGTGCTTGGGCAATTCCCTCTTCTCCTTTATCCAAGGTCCATCCGGCCGTGTGAGGGCTCCTGTTTGCRTGGGGTCGGGATGTGGGACCTGCGGGCTTTGGCAGGTGCTTGTGGAATTTCTTACAGAGACAGGGATGGCGGGAAAGTCGGCAAAGAGGAGAAACTGCCAGCTCTGTGTCCCCCAGGGCTATAATGTTCCCAGGGTTGYACTGTCCCCACTGAGTGTACCCCACAGCTGCTGTGTCCCTTCTGGGTGCCCTCCGAGGCTTCACCATCCCTACAGTGCCCGCCAGAGAACCCCTCCCTATTGCTGTGGGGTTTTCGGGAGTTTGCCACCCTCATCCCCCGTGCCCACGGGGCACCACGTGGCTGCCAGGACTCGCTGCCCCTTTGGAGCCCTTTTCCCGGCAGTGCCCAGCTTGCCGCTGTGGCTGGTCACTCAGAGCTGCAGCCCAGCACCAAATGACACGTTTGCTGCTGCTTTTTCTGTCCCAGGACCCGCGGGGAGGGCTGTGCTGAGCTCTAACGCTGCTGCGTTTGGCCGGAGGGTTTTGGGGGAAAGCGGGGCTGGGGAGTGCCCGGGGCCGGTCACCTGCCCGTGTCCGGCGGGACAGGACACGGTGACACGGTACAGTGCTCTGCTGGCCGCGCTGAGAGCACGTCTCTCCTTCATCTCCACGTCCCTCCRGGCAACCTAAACCCGTAATTTCTTGTCCCAACCGCTGCTCCTGCCCCCCGGAGCCGCGCCCGTCCCCTCCCGGTGCCCAGATCCGCGTCCCACCGAGCCCCCCTGGGTTGTGGAGCATCAGGAGCAGCSCTGGCTCCGCTCCCAGCCCTGCTGCGGTGGCGGCTCCTGCTGCCTCTGGGCGCTTCCCTGGACGCTTCCCCGTTCGTGGGGAGTATCCCAAGGAATGTTTTCTTTCCTTGGGCGGCAGATCGGAGCGCACAGGGTCTGCTCTGTGCCCTGTCCTGGGCTGCACCCCGGCTGACCGCAGCGGGGCCGGGCTCGCCCTCGCCCAGCACGGCAGCGCCGCAGCCGGAGGGGCCCCCGCAGACGTGAGGGGTCCCCGCAGCGGGTAGGTGGGTGCCGAGGAGAGCCGGGACAAGGCAGCACCGTCCGGGAGATTCTGAGTTACAGGGGGATCCCGCCGGCCCCCACCGCTGCCAGGGTGGGTGTGAGACCCGTCCCGCCGCGGGGTTCGGTGCGCCGGGGAGAGGATGTGGAGGTGTTTTGGGGGTGACGCTGGGTTTTCTTCTGCCAGGTTTGCTTTCGTAGAAGAAGCCGGGTGTCACAGCAGCCCAGGCAGGTCAGTCGTGCCCGTCTCTCCGGGCAGGAACCATGGCAGACCCCGAAGACGCCCCGCGCGATGCCGGGGAGGGCGCGGCGGAGGACGGCACCCTCCAGAACGACTCCTTCCCTCTCTCCTCGCTGGCCAACCTGTTCGAGAACGAGGACGCCCCGAGCTCCGCCGAGACAGCCCGGGGTCYCCCCGGCGCCGGGGATGGGAAGCAAAACCTGCGCATGAAATTCCAGGGGGCCTTTCGGAAAGGCGCCCCCAAACCCATGGAGCTGCTGGAGGCCACCATCTACGAGTCGCCCGTGGTCCCCGCGCCCAAGAAAGCCCCCATGGACTCCCTCTTCGACTACGGCACCTACCGCCACCACCCCAGCGAGAACAAGCGCTGGCGCAGGAGGGTCGGGGAGTGAGTACGGGACCCCCGCGCCTCCCGGTGCGGTGAGGGGAGCTGGGGTGGGGGCGCCCCGGTGGGGATGGGGATGTTGAGCAGCTGGGGACCGGGGCAGACCTTTCTGTGGCATTTTGGGGTGCTTTGGGCAGAGGTGTGGCGCTGAGGGAGCAGCTCCCGGTGAGTCCCATGGGCTGTGCCCATGCCGTGGCGGGGCTCCGCAGCCCCCGGTGCCGCGGGGACGGGAGCTCGCTCCCCTTCCCCCTTACGGGCGCCGTGAAAGAGGCTCTGTGCGCCCAGCCGCTCCCCTGGCCGGTGCGGCCGTCTGGCTGAGGCATGAAAGGGCTTTTCAGGAGAGCCTCCGCCCTGCCCGCGCCAGGAAACCGGAGCCGGGGGGGGCAGCCCGGGGCCGGACGCACAATGCCCCTCTGTGCCGGGCACCTGGGGCGGCCACCGTGGCCCCCYGCCAGTGTCCCCACCCAGGGGTGCAACCGGCTCAGGAGAGCGGGATGTTTCCCCTGGAGGTGGGCGGAGGGGGCCAGGATGCCCTCAGACTCGAAATCCCCGGCTGCGGCRGCCGCCGTCCGTGCTGCCCTCATTSCCGGTGCCCGGAGCTGACCGGTTGTCCCCGGTCCTGCCGACTGCTCCGACCGGTCTGGCTTCACCCGAGGAGCTGGAGCGTGACCAAGCCGGCGGCCTGTCCCTCCAGGGGGGCACAGCCGGGGGCCCCGAACGCTGCAGCTCCTGGTGGGAGCGGGCAAGGCACTGGGAGCACTGAGCTGCTGCGGGTGCGGAGGCTACCCCGGCCCCACAGGTGACCCCAGCCGGGGGTTGTCCCCACCTGCCTGTCCCCAGAGCACCCTCGAGCTCGTTGCCCAGCTGAGGTGTCCCTCCAGTCCCCAGCGCTGGCSTTTCTCCCGCAGGAAGCAGCCGCCGGCCGCAAAGGGGCCGGCTCCCGACCCGCCCCCCGTCCTCAAGGTTTTCAACAGACCCATCCTCTTCGACATCGTSTCCCGGGGGTCCCCGGCCGGCCTGGATGGGCTCCTCTCCTTCCTCCTCACYCACAAGAAGCGCCTCACAGACGAGGAGTTCCGAGGTGAGGGCCTGGGGGGTTCCCTGGCCTGCTGCCGGGGCTGTGCCGCTGGTGATCCCGGTATTCCTGYGGGGATGGGGATGCACAGCTCCGGCATGGGCAACCCGGGGCCTGAGGGGCTCGCCCTGGCCCCTCCTCAACACCCTCCACTCGCAGAGCCCTCCACGGGAAAGACCTGCCTGCCCAAGGCTCTGCTCAACCTGAGCGGGGGCAAGAACGACACCATCCCCGTCCTGCTGGACATCGCCGAGAAGACGGGAAACATGCGGGAGTTCATCAACTCGCCCTTCAGGGACGTCTACTACCGAGGTGGGGGGCACTGCTGGCCCCGCCTGGGCACGGGCGACACTGGGGTGGTTCGGGGACCCTGGGAAGGCTGGMACTCGGGGGATGTCACGGGATAAGGAGGTGGCTGACGGGCGGCTCTGTCCCAGGTCAGACCGCCCTGCACATCGCCATCGAGCGCCGCTGCAAGCACTACGTGGAGCTGCTGGTGGAGAAAGGGGCAGAYGTCCATGCCCAGGCCCGCGGCCGCTTCTTCCAGCCCAAAGGCGAGGGCGGCTACTTCTACTTCGGTGAGCAGGGAYGGAGCCCGGCGGGCTGCACCCCGARATSCCCRCKCTGCGGGGAAGGAAAGGGTGACAGGAGCCCCGGTGTTGTCCCCGCAGGTGAGCTGCCCCTGTCGCTGGCCGCCTGCACCAACCAGCCGCACATCGTGCACTACCTGACGGAGAACGGGCACAAGCAGGCGGACCTGCGGCGCCAGGACTCCCGCGGCAACACCGTGCTGCACGCCCTGGTGGCCATCGCCGACAACACCCGCGAGAACACCAAGTTCGTCACCAAAATGTACGACCTGCTSCTCGTCAAGTGCGCCAAGCTCTTYCCCGACACCAACCTGGAGGCTCTGCTCAACAACGACGGGCTCTCCCCGCTCATGATGGCAGCCAAGACCGGCAAGATCGGGGTACGGTGACGGCCCCGTAGTGGGGGACAGACATCAACCTGCGATCCACGCTGAGCCCTGTCACACTCAGTGCATGTCGCTGCTGGCTTCTCTCTGCAGATGCTGGTGGAAACCTGGATGTGCAGATTGTTAACCCTAAAAGGGGCTAATTAAAGCCCCTTTACATTCTGGCCCTTTCCAGATTAACCCCAGACCCTCGCACAGCCCATCCTCTCCCCTGACCTGCCCTCAGCCTCTGGTGGGGCAGGCAGAGGAGTCACCAAAAACACAAAAGCTGCAGCATTCTCGGGGCTGTGGCAGTGTCTGTGCACCCCAGCAGCTCCTGAGTCCCTTGGGGTGCAGGGGTGGTTTGGGGGATCCCCTCGGGATGGGGTGGGAGGAACACAGGGTGCCCCAAGCAGGTTGGGGTCAGGTCTGTGTGTAAGCAGCCCCCCACCTCGGGCAGATCTTCCAGCACATCATCCGGCGGGAGATCACGGACGAGGACGCCCGGCACCTGTCCCGGAAATTCAAGGACTGGGCGTACGGCCCCGTCTACTCCTCCCTGTACGACCTGTCCTCGCTGGACACCTGCGGGGAGGAGGTGTCTGTGCTGGAAATCCTCGTCTACAACAGCAAGATCGAGGTGTGCAGGGGCTGGGGGGACCGGGAGGGGGCTGGAGGGGTGGCCCTGTCCCCTCTGTCACCGTCCACATCCCAGCAGAACCGCCACGAGATGCTGGCAGTGGAGCCCATCAACGAGCTGCTGCGGGACAAGTGGCGCAAATTCGGGGCCGTGTCCTTCTACATCAGCGTGGTGTCCTACCTCAGCGCCATGGTCATCTTCACCCTCGTGGCCTACTACCGCCCCATGGAAGGCCCCGTGAGTCCCCACGCTGGCACGGCCCCATGGGCCAGCACAGCTTGGCAGGGGGGTCTTTGCCCCTGGGAAAGGGGGAGCAGCTCAGCTCTGTCCTCTCCTCCCCACAGCCGCCCTACCCCTACAGCAGCACCGCCGACTACCTGCGYCTGGCCGGGGAGATCATCACCCTCCTCACTGGAGTGCTCTTCTTCTGCACAAACGTCAGTGTGGCAAGGCAGCGGGACCACAGAACCCTTGGGGTCTCCAGGGGTGACAGCCCTGGGGACCCTGCCACTCCAGATCCTTCAATCTCTGCCTCTGCCCCACAGATCAAAGACCTGTTCATGAAGAAATGCCCAGGTGTCAACTCCTTCTTCATAGAYGGCTCCTTCCAGCTGCTCTAGTAYGTGAGGAACCCCCAGGGCCACCACSARTCACCTCAACCCCCAGCCTTGTGGGTGCAGGGCCTGACCCCAGCTCTCCTCCAGCTTCATCTACTCGGTGCTGGTGATYGTGACGGCGGGGCTGTACCTGGGTGGCATCGAGGCGTACCTGGCCGTCATGGTGTTTGCGCTGGTGCTGGGCTGGATGAACGCGCTCTACTTCACCCGCGGCCTCAAGCTGACRGGGACCTACAGCATCATGATCCAGAAGGTCTGGGGTGGGGCTCATGGGTCTGTCTTTCTCCAGGGGTGATGCTCYTGTGGAAGTGTGRCTTGRAAAGGWTCCTCCAGGCTCTGTGTGGGGTTGSTGTGGCTCTCYACTCCCTRCTCCTGGAACCAGCAGTGTCGCTGTTGGCTRGACAKCCGACACAAAATAACAGACACAAAGACACACAYATACACACACAAAAARTAAYCMCTTTATTCTGGKATAGGCCTCTTTTATCCACTTTAGCAAYSAGTGCATACATTTGTGTCAAACATACATTGGTCAGTGAGGCTGTCACTTTCTACTCAACAGCATAGGATTGGTAGGTTTGTAAAAGCTACAGTATTAGTAATGTTTATAATTGTAAGCCACCTGTATTATCAATTCTACATTCCAATCTTTTTTTTCTCAAGACAGCCAAGGACGTGGCGTTTTTCTCCCMTGCAAGYTGTTAACACTCCCTACACAGCAGCACAGTTTGGTGGTGATGTTTTTGTCCAGCTCACCTCACCCTGCTCTCCATCACTTTTAGATCCTCTTCAAAGACCTGTTCCGATTCCTGCTGGTCTACCTGCTCTTCATGATTGGCTATGCCTCAGGTAACACCTGGCTGGGGGAAGGATGACCCTATGGCTCAGCACGGCTGGGCAGGGGGCTGTGAACCCCCAGGCCCATCCCACCTGCCCACGGGCTCAGCCTTTTCCTSCTCCAGTGGTGGAGAAGGTCTCAGCCAGCTCAGAGCCACATTGGGGCCCACTGTGGATCCTGTCCTTGCTGTTCCCCCTGTGGAATCACTGTCCCTTGTCCCCCAGCCCTGGTGTCCCTCCTCAACCCGTGTCCCAGCAGTGAGTCCTGTAGCGACAAGTCCAACTGCACGGTGCCCACCTACCCGTCCTGCCGGGACAGCCAGACCTTCAGCACCTTCCTGCTCGACCTCTTCAAGCTCACCATCGGCATGGGTGACCTGCAGATGCTCGAGAGCGCCAAGTACCCCGCTGTTTTCATCATCCTCCTYGTCACCTACATCATCCTCACCTTCGTGCTCCTCCTCAACATGCTCATCGCCCTCATGGGTGAGACCGTGGGCCAGGTCTCCAAGGAGAGCAAGCACATTTGGAAGCTGCAGGTACCACACCCCGGGGGCTGCGGGATGGAGGCTCCAGGGGCTGCCTGTGCCTGGGGGGCTGCGGTTCAAGCAGTCCCCGGTGTCCCTGGCAGTGGGCCACCACCATCCTGGACATCGAGCGCTCCTTCCCGGTGTTCCTGCGCAAAGCTTTCCGCTCGGGGGAGATGGTCACCGTGGGSAAGGGCACGGACGGGACCCCCGACCGCCGCTGGTGCTTCAGGTAAAGCTGGGCACCCTTGGGGGCTGGAGAGCTGCTGAGCCTCTCCCACCACGGCCAGCAGCATTTTGAGGGGCTGGCATGAGTGTGCTGGGTGTTTTGTAGTGATGTGGAGGCAGCTGGCACTGCCGGTGGGTGCTGGAGCTCCCGGACACTCCCACCCTGGTTCCCGGGCACTCCGACCCCGGCTCCCGGGCACTCTCACCCCGCCTCCCGGGCACCCTGTGCAGCCCCCGCGGGTCTGACCTTCCCCACAGGGTGGACGAGGTGAACTGGTCCCACTGGAACCAGAATCTGGGCATCATCAGTGAGGACCCGGGCAAGAGCGACACGTACCAGTACTACGGCTTCTCCCACACCGTGGGCCGGCTGCGAAGAGGTGAGCGCCRTGCTGTGGGCTGGGATCACCCCTGAGGATGCTGCTTGCAGCCTCCGATGAGSCCCAGGAGCAGATTTGGGGGCCGGGGGAGCAGCCACAGGCTCCCGGCTCTGCCAGCCTCCCACCCTCTCCGCAGATCGCTGGTCGACGGTGGTGCCGCGCGTGGTGGAGCTGAACAAGAGCAGCTCGCCGGAGGAGGTGGTGGTGCCCCTGGGGACCGTGGGGACAGCGGAGCCGCGGGAGAGGCGGCACGGCCACACCCCGAGCTCCCCGCTCTAGCCCGGCAGCACCAGCAGCTGATGGACTGTGCCCAGATCYCCGGACTGGGCTGGATGGTGCTTGTCTGCTCCTCAGGGATCCGCGCAGCCCCTGTCCCTCCGGCAGCCGCTGTCCTGGCTGTCCTGGGGGTSCTGGCCCTGCCCCGGGTGGTCTCGGCTCTCACCGGCGAGCTCCAGTGCCACCGCTTCGCTTTGCTGTGCCGGGGCCGCGGCTGTGCCGTGCCGGGAGCCTCGGCCCGGCCCGGGGGTGGAGAGCGCGGCCCCCGATGCCTTTCCAAGGCCGATGGTTTTGCCACAGAGTTTTGCACAAGATTTATATTTCTATTTATTTAGTAATAAAGACTGACCCGCCACCGCCGCCTCCTCCCGGCGCTGAGTGATTGAGAGCCGGGCTGCCGGCGGGGTTCGGGGAGGGATGGAGGAGCCGGCTGCTCTCTGGCCGTGCCGTGCCGTGCCGTGCCGTGCCTTTGGGCACGGTCAGCCATCCTGCTGAGCTGGGGTGTGGTGCACGGATGGGGTGCAGGGCCATGGTGTACAGGCGGGGGACAGGGATGTGATGATGTACAGGGACTGGGATGTGATGTACAGGGACCGGAATGTGATGTACAGGTGGGGGACAGGGATACAATTCACAGGTGCGGTGCATGGTTACAGTGATGTGGGACATGGATGTGATGATGCACAGATGTGGGACAGGGGTGTGATGATGTACAGGTGTGGGACATGGATACGATTCACAGGTGCAGTGCATGTTACGATGTACAGATGTGGAACATGGGTGTGATGACACACAGGTGTAGGACATGGATGTGAGGATGCAGGTGCCATATAGGGATACGAGGTACAGGTGTGGACAGATGTGGGACATGGATGTGATGATGCACAGGTGTGACACAGGGGTGTAATGATGCACAGGTATGATACATGGATGTGATGTGCAGGTGTGGACAGGTGTGGGACATGGATGTGATGATGCACAGGTGTGACACAGGGGTGTGATGATGCACACGTGTGACACAGGGGTGTTATGATGTACAGGTACGGGACAGGGATACAATTCACAGGTACAATGCATAGTTACAATGTACAGATGTGGTACATGGATGTGATAATGCACAGGTGATACGTGGATGTGATGCGCAGGTGTGGGACATAGATGTGATGAAGCACAGGTGTGATATATGGATGTGATGATGCACATGTGTGATACATGGATGTAATGTACAGGTGTGACACGTGGATGTGATGATGCACAGGTGATACATGTATGTTACAATGCACAGATGTGGTACATGGGTGTGATGATACACGTGTGACACATGGATGTGATGATGCACACGTGTGACACAGGGGTGTGATGATACAGGTGTGACACACGGATACGATTCCCAGGTGCGGTGCGCAGTTACAATAATGTGGTACATGGATGTGATGATGTACAGGTGTGACACATGGCTGTGATGATGCCCAGGTGACACATGGGTGTGATGATACACATCTGTGGCACATAGATACGATTCCCAGGTGCGGTGCGCGGTTATTACAATGCCCAGGTGCGGAGCAGGGATGCGGGCACGGCTGCAGCGCGGGATGGCTCCACCGGAGGGCAGCGCACACCGCGCGATGCGGGAGCGGCCCCGGCGATGCGCGGGGAGCCCGGGCCGGGGCTGACCCCGCACCCCGAGCGCACGGGTGGGACCGGCACCGGGCTGGGGGCAAACCTCTGCTCCTCATCCCATCCCATCGCATCCACACTCCATCCCCTCTCGTCCCTGGCCCATCCCCATGGATCTCCGTCCCTTTTGCGTCCTATCCATCACCCCTCTGTAACTCCTTTCCTCACCCTCCCAGCCACCTGCAGCTTTCCTTCAACACCTGGACATTGTGCAGGCGTGAAGGAGCGCTTTGGGTGGGCACCAGTGGCATGGTGACACGGTGGCACTGACAGAGACCCTGTCCAGGGCCCTGGGGACAGCCCAGCTCTCTCAGCAAACGCTTCAGCAGCAGAGGGGACGCTTCATCTTCGAACTTGATGAGTCGCCGTCAGCGTTAACGGCACCGTCTCCGTTTAAATGTGATTTACATACATCTCTCATATTGTGGTTTAAGTATTTCCCCAGGGTGAGGGATGAATATGTTTCATTATCACTCCTTGGGAGAGGCGGAGGAGGCGGCTCCTGCTGCGTAATCGAATGAGGAGCTGAGCTGCTCCGCTTCTAGACCGGCTCTTGGGTGAAAACAATGAACTTGGCTTTCACCCGGCTGGGTGGCCACAGTGGCCAGTGCTGGCTGGGCCGTGTGTGGTGTCTGGGTAGCCCTGGACAGGGACTCAGTCACTCACTGTGACAGAAATGGGCTCAGCACGGTGGCCGCCCCTGGCTGCAGCACCAGAGCTGGGATTTTCCAGTAAAATGAGATATAAACCAATTTTCTCCCCTCCTGTGCAAATCTTGATGCCCCAAAGCCAAGAGGCCACATGTCAGCGGGCTTTAATAAGATTTGGGGTGTGGGAAGGGCAGCTGCCACCAAACCCCAGCACCATCCCCCTTCACCCTGCGGTGGCTCAGTGGGGACAGGGACACCATGGCCATCGTGGTGACATCCCAGTGGAGGATCCCTCTGCCACCTTCAGGACTGCAGGGCTTGAGTCTGGCCCTTTTCCCTGCTGCCCCACCAAGCCCTGAACTGTTTCACACTCAGCTGTGGTGACAGGGACACCCCCAAAGGCTGATGAAAGGGGGGAGCATGGCCCCGGCCCCCTCCCGCCCCTCCCCGCGCCACCCTGCCAGCGATGACAAACCCAACAAAGGGAAGAGAAAAGCACTTGTCATCCAGAATGCGGAGCGTGGAGGCAAATTTATTTTTAGATAAATCTAAAGCTTAATTTGTGAAGCTAATATCAATCAAAATGAGGGATGGGTTTTTTTAAGTCCTTTTGCAGCCGCGCAATTTATACTGCCTGTCTCTCCTCCTCGCTCCCAAACAGCAAAGGCGGCCGCTAAGTTTGATAGCAGCCTCGTGCACACCTGCCTTGCTGGAAATTTGGATCATTATTGGTATTATTATGGATATTGTTTGAATAGGAGGGTATTTGGAGGTGAGATCCTCCAAATTTCCCTCACTGTGTTCTTGCAGGGAACTGCTGTGTCCCAAGGTATGGGAGGGCCATGGGTTGTGGTGGTTTCATCCTGGGTGCTGGGATGTACCTCAGGGGTCTGTGCCCCATTTCCACCCGGTGCCTGAGCACATTTTGGGTCCCCACGTGCTCACCTGCACCCACCAGAGCCGACACTACACCAACCCCAGCTGAAGGCAGGCGCCCACCAAGGAGGGACCCATTTATTTTGCATTTCCACAGCTGAAGCCTCCCCGTGCCCGGCGAAATCCCCCTCCCGAGGAGCGATCTGAAGGGAGAATTAACCTGCTAAATAATAAAAACCCCGCACACCTCCTAATGAAATGTAATGACTTGGAGACCCGCAAGATGGATCGCGCCGTCKCTCGCAGCCGCTCGCCCTGATTTATGGCGAGCTGGGAAATCTGATGGAGGCAGCGCTAATGAATCCTCCTCCCACGGGCGCTGCTGATGGAGCAAAGTTTCTCCTGGAGCCCCCAGCAGGGCTCTGTGCAGCCCAGAGTCCCCGTTTTGGCACGGGGGGGCCCCCAGGGAGGGGTGCCCGGTGCAGAGGGACCCACCAGCGCTCCAGCATCGCATTCCTTTGATGTGGCGTCTTTTTAATGACAAAGATCTGAGCAAAGATCTTCCTCCAGACGGACTAATTTTAACGTGTAGGCAGGCAGTGGCATTCCCCCCGCAATCAGTAATATTAACCTCGGTGAAAATTTCCTTTTGTCCCAATTTCTCTTTGTTCCCAGGATCGGCTGTCACGCCGCTCACTGCTGGTGATGGAGCGGTCCCCTCATGGCTTGCCACAAATACCGGAGGAGCTGTGTTCCCATCCCATCCCATCCCATCCCATCCCATCCCATCCCATCCCATCCCATCCCATCCCATCCCATCCCATCCCATCCATCCCCATCCTGTTCTCATCCCTGCCCCCATCCTCATCCCCTTCCCCATTTTTATTCCACCCCATCCTATCCATTTCCCTGTCTCCATCCTAAACCCATCCTCATCCCAACTCTTATCCCATCCCTATCCTCATTCCCACACTACTCCCATCGTCATCCTGTCCCCATTCTCTTCCCTGTTTGTTCCCATCCCATCCCATCCCATCCCATCCCATCCCATCCCATCCCATCCCATCCCATCCCATCCCATCCCNTCCCATCCCATCCCATCCCATCCCATCCCATCCCATCCCATCCCTGAACCCTTTTGGCCACACAAAAAAGGCAGCTGAGCCCTTGCCACCCTCAGGTCCCCTCTCTGGCTGGGATAAGGCCACCCCAAATGTCCTACCATGGCACACAGAGGCCGGGGAGATGCATCCACAGCCCGGAGCTATTTGGGATTTAATGCCATTATCCCAGTGTAACTGACACCAGGAATGCTCCTKCCATGGGGAAACCCAGCGGGTGACAGATGGTGGCGGCGATGCCACYGCCATGGTGGTGACAGGATGGGGACGCGGTGCCCAGCCCCAGTGCCCGTCGCCCCACGGGGGCACATGAGGCCACAGCCCTAATCCCAGGGATTTGTCCCATGTGCCGCCCCTTGGGTGTGAGGCAGAGGCTGGTGCCGGCCGGATTAATGGCTCAGCATCGTTAAAAGGTTATTTATAGGTGTTCCTCCATGCCCTAAAAATCTCCAGGAGCAAGGGGGGGTCCCAGCTCTGGGGAGGTCACAACAAAGCAAAGAAACTCCAGAGCACACATCCAGCGAGATCCTGGTTTTACTTTGGGAAAAACACCATCCGGACACACGGCTTGCGGGTTTTGTGTTGGTTTTTTTTTTTTTTTTTTCTTTTTTTTTTTTTTCATTTTGTTTTCTCATTTTTAAAACAATATAGTGCAGCCAGCACTTCTCACAGTAGAATATAATGGTCGATTTTAGTATAAAAAAAAAACATTCTCAGAGATTTGTAAATGCACTTAGTGCTTGAACAGGCTTTCAGGGATACAGTACCTCTTTTCCGAGCACAATCACCTTGGGTTTTATCGGGATATTATTCTTCTTTTACCTTTAGACATCAAAACGCTTTGTATTTCGTGGTGAGGAGCCTTTTGTAAATTAACAAATCTATTAAACACGGAATTACACAGAGTGAATAACGGACCATAATGAGAGTTTTGGAATCATTTGCAGTGTGTTTTTCTTAAAAAAAAAAAAGAAAAAAAAAAAAAAAAAAAGAGAAAAAAAGGAGGTATGTGAGCACCC